TTAAGAGATCTAAAGAGTCTGTAATATTTTATTGGTGTCAGAAGAGGGATCTCCCTTGGACATGCTTTGTTGGCAAGCACAAGATGCTTTGCCAGGCCTGTTGAGGCAGTGGGTTTAGTGTAACTGTAAAGATACTGTCTTTGTGTGTCTCTGTGCCATGAAAAACAAGACACTGACTGCCAACAACTGGGAGAAGAATTTGAGAAAGAGGGGTGGCAAAATCTCAAGCGGTTTGAGAGCCACTGTTTGGATGCTGATCATATTTGGGAGGAGTTTGCCACATGGTGGGCTTCTTTTAAGTTAAAGAAAGGAAAAGGGAAGTTGCTATGTGCTGGATGCTAGGCAGCTGTCAGAGGGCAGCAACGGATGTGACTAATGAGTCTGATTCAGAGAAAACTCCAGGAATAAACTCTTTCAGGTTGACAAGCAGGTATTCTTTATTGCGGCGCCGGGAGACACGGGGGATAGCTCCTCCTAACGTGTGTCCCCGAATTGCTATACAGGTCATCCTTATATGGTCACTGGGCATATTACATCATTTTCCAGAAAGTTCCTGGCAAGCATACAAAAATGTGATGGTGGTCTGTAAGGGTCGTTTACTTTTCCCAACAGTCTTCATAACCTGCTTAATCAACATTACAGACATAGCAATCATCCTGTCCTACTTATCAGTTAGTTTAACTGCTCCTATCCTGAACATCTGCTAGCCCCAGATACTCCCCATCCCCAGGTCCTGTTTTTCTATTCTGCTTTTCTTACACCTTTTGTACTAAGGTCCTAAGGACCTGAAACTATGTCAACTACCTTCAAGCACCACAGCAGCACCTTCAAGCACCTTCAAGCACCTTCAAGCACACCATTACAAAGCCCTCAAACTTAACATTACTTAGAACTGATTACCTTTTGTGTTTTTGTGCCTCCTTATCTCCAATAGAAAGGGGGAAATGTTCAGTTTAAAAGGATAACAAATAGGGAGCCAGAGAATGCAGGGAATGTAAGCACAATACCCAAATCTATCAGCACTAAACCTAGACCAGGAACATGCAGGAAACAAGGGTGGGAGCTTAGTTCACTGGTAGTACTGGTGACCAGTGCTCCCACTGCTGAGAATTCGAGTCCAGAGGTGATGGTTGTGATGCACGGATAGACTCCACAGCCCTTCGCATCAGTTGTGGTTAATGTCCCTGCCTTACAGCATTCCTTATTGACACAGGAGCCCAAATATCGATGGTAGGTAAGAAGCTTACAAAGGACAGCCTCTGCTTAGCAAGCAGTTAGCTTCTATTGTAGGCATTAATGGGAAAATCACTAACCACCCACTGGTCAGGGCTAAACTAGTTCTGTCTAAGGGATAGACAATCCACCTGACCTCACTTTTAGGTTCCCGTAATATATAGGGTATGGATGTGTTAAAGGGTCAGTAGTGGGGAAAACGGGGAATAGGGAACCATCCTCTCTTCCCATCAGTTTAGCTCCAACAAATGTATCCCCAAATGTTAATCTGTTGCAAACAGCTGCTCCTTTACCCATAGCAAGCTAGTTAGTATTCCACAATACAAATTACCTTCTGGTGCTATTTGTCCTGTTACTGAATTGATAAAGGAGCTGGAGGAACAGGGAATCATTGTCACATCTCATTTCCCCTACACTTCTCCTTTATGGCCAGTAAAGAAATGTAATGGCAAGTAGCAACTAACAGGAGATTACGGAGCCTTGAACACTACCACTGAACTGCTCCCTGCAGCTGTTCCCAGTATAAATGATGTAGTCAGTTTTCTTAATGAACAGTCCCATGTGCTGAACCAACACCAGCAGGACGCTTTGAACTCAGTGTGGCATCCAGGAGATCGGCTGAGATCACTTGGAAAACACTGGATCACTTTGCAGCACTTCTGAGGGAAAGGAATATGGGAGACTGTAGATGTTGTGGGAGTGAAATTAATCATATCATCCAAGACCTAGGTCTACTTTCCCTCTCCCTGGGAACTGCTGAATTCCTAGACAAACAAGTGAAACCTGTCATTCAAGCGGCAAGTAGATAGGAAGTATCCATCTATAAAGTACGCTTAACTTTGTTAATGCTTTCTGTGGTAAAGTGGTATCACTGGAGATAATGTTGACAACACCTAAAAGTCAAGAGCCTTCCTGTATTGGACATTTCAACCCTCACACTGCGGCATCTGACGCTGTGTTATGTAAATGTAGATGTATATGCAATGCCCAAACACACTCATAGAAGCTTGCAACCTCCACACCACTTCCAGATGTGCTCTTTGTTCAATTTGGGAGTATGAGCAGCTGTCTTGGGCGACATGATCTAATGTGAGATGTCCCTGCCCATGGCAGGGAGTTGGAACTGGATGATCTTAAGGTCCTTTCCAACCCTAACCATTCTGTGATTCTATGATCTCTGTTTGTAAGACAGGGATGAGGACAGAGACAGGAATATTGGACTTTGGGTGCCTAAATCCTTTTTGTTGGCCTTCAATGTCTAGTAGCCCCAGATTATTCCAATACCTTTTCAGAAATGAGTAGTGAACTTCAGTGGAAGAAAAAGCTCCCTCAGAATAGAATAGAATAGCTGTCTCAGGACTACTCTCATACTTCTACAGCTTAAAAAAAAATAAATATATATATATATATATACACACATGAGGGAGGTACTGATGAACAGTAGTTTCAACCAATGAAACAAATGCTCCAGGCTGAAATCTCCTAAAAGCAAGTTGCAAGGTATCTCCACAGCCCAGATCACCAGACAGCAGTTAGTTTCTCAGGCACTCACTCTTCCTTTCATCTTCCTGATGGATATTTCATCTGAGTTTATGTTCTCCTCTCTTGCCTTCCTTTCACTTCTCTGCCTCTCTTTCCAATAAGACTGTGATCTGTCACAGACTCTCAGTGGACAAGACCTATACCTCCCATCACTGTCAAAGCTAGTTACACTAGACAGGCCAGGATGAAAAGTGGTTTGGAAGGGAGAGAAGCTGTCATGCTTCAGGGCATAGACTTGAACTGTAACCAAGAAAGAGAGATGAAGGAGGGCTTCAGGCCAGGCAGGGAGAAAGATTTACTCAGGGCAGGTTATTCCATAATTACCCACTTAAACTTTTTTTATACCTTCTGAGATGCATCTGTTTCTGGCCAACATCAGAGACAAAAGGGGTAGATCACTGGCCTGATCCAGAAGGCAAATGAGTTTCTTCATTATTTTTGCTGGTGCATCTTCTGAAACTGCAGTGAAATCCCTTGCCAAGCATGACCCTTGCTCTGCCAGTGATAGCCAAAACCCCTTCCCATAGCCCCATCCTTCACACTTCCACAAGGAACACAGAGAGAAGCCAGTACAAAGCCAGGTCAAGATTATAAGAACAAAGCCTTGAAGACTGCTTTTAGATACCAGCTTTACTTCAACAGAGGAGGAAATTTTCAAAGAAAGAGGTGAGCTCTTTCTGTCTCTTTCTCAGGCAGGAATCTCTTGGGAGGAGCAGAAAACAGCTTTCATTTTAGTGAGTCATGATATTTATGGCCCTTTTATGGGTTTTGTTTGAAAATATAAAAATAGATGGACTTAAATCTGTTTCAAAAGTGAGGGGATGGGAAGGGGAGAGACAGAGCATATGAAGGGCACGTGGGTCTGAATCATTTGCCAGTGTTCAAAAGAGGATCAAACACCTTCTTTGTTTTAATATGGACCCCTTCTACCAGTCATGAGGATAATGTCTGACCTTTTCTTGCATAGACCCTTTTATCCTTAATGACTTTTACAAATTTTCTATGTACACTACCACCAAGAACACTCACCTTAGGATGCAACTATTAAATTATGCAACCTCAGCACCATGCAACAGTTCAGGTGTGATTGCTCCCAGAAGCAGACTTTCAGATCACGTCTCCTGCAGAAATGAAAGCTTTGTACTGTATTCCTGAGGGGCAACTGTCAGCTTCTGCTTGCTCGCATACCAGAGTCTCATGTGGGCTTTTATTCATCCTATTTGTGGTGTCTGTTCAGCAACTGAGATTGCTTAGTTTTGAGGGCCTCCTGCTTTTCAGATGTGGAATCTTCTCTGACCCTTTGCCTCTAGGCAATACTTTCGATCCAATTCACAGACTAAGGAGCACATGCTTTGCAAAATTATTGAGGGAGGGAAGTTTAAAATGAAGAACTGGGGTTTGCATTTAGTTTTGAATGTAGTTAGGCCCATGGTCATTTTATCTGCTCTGGGGATGAACCTTCATAGATTGTGACAGATACTGGGAAATTTCCCTGAGCAAAATGTACAAAGCTCCCCATTAATTGGTAGTTCCACAAGGGCTGTTGTGTTTCACAAAGCTCTCCTCTCAAGCAAGGAGGGAGAGATGTCCTGCAAAACTAATGAACAGCTTTCAGCTGGATCTGAGTTCAGTATGGAGTCATTGCAAAGACCAAACTGCTGGGATGGTCCATGATGGTCCATTTGCAATGTTTAATACCAGTTGGTTGTGTGCTGCATCTTTCTTTGATATGGTGCCTGCAGTAATCAAATGGAGAAATCACAAATAGCAAATCTCTAAAATCAGGCATGTTCCTGGCAGGACCTGACCTGAAGCATGTAGCTATCTGGCCAGTTGTAAACAGTTCTTGCCACCATGGTTATTTTCTAATATCACTCAGAAGTGCAAAAAGACTCTTAAGACATTGAGCTCCAGGTAGATGCTGATGGTAGGTAGGTGATGCTACATATCCTTCAAATATTTCTGTGTTTTAACTAGTAGCATTCATGTCTTGGTTCAGTTTTATGCCTGCACATGTGCCCTTCTGACTGGAGTCATCCCTTCTTTCATGGTTACTTGTGCAGAACCCTTACACCAGTTTGTGCAAACTTGGTAAGTTTGAATCAGGTCTGAATATTTATTGATCTGACCTTGTCCATTCTGTAGTGTGTTCTTTAATTTAATTTAATGACCGTAAAGCATTCAGGTATGTTGTCATGAAGGGTGCACTGGAAAAAAATAGGTGATTGATTGATTGATTATGTGGAAGTTTTATTCTCTCCATAGTTAACAGTGAAGCTAGTTTTCCATTGTACATTTGTGTCATCCAGGGCATACATATCTGAAGTAAACCAGCCTGCCTGCATGTATGAATCATATATGGAAGCAGCTACACTCTCGTGTAAGGATTAAATTTGTCTATTTTAATGATACACATAAATAAAAATCTTCAAAATGCAATTCAGAGTGGAAGGTTCAAAGCACAGACAGGATGTCCTTTCTCCTGCTCTCTCAGACAGTTTTCATGTCACCACACCAAGATAACTTGGCACAGACATCCCAACATTTACTTTAACCTGTTGGTCTTGGGAAGATCTGAATTCATACTGTTGCCTGCTTTTAGAAGTCACAAATATTTCCGCTTTTTATTTGTGTGTGCACCCTGTGGCATGGGAACAGCAGTCACAGGAAAACTCCAAGCTCAGAAGCTGCTGAATGGTTGTAACAGGGGGATAGAGATGGAAGCAACATGAAATCAGCTCCTTAATATGTTGAAATGTACCAAAGAACCAAAAGCAGTCTGGAAAAAAAAAAAAAAAGGGAGGATTCTTTCATGTCCAAAAAATTTCTGTTCCTAGGAGTAGCCAAAATGGCAGAGTGTTCATTTAAGTGGATTATGCTGGTATTGGTAATACACAACCTAAATACACAACCTCTCTCCATTTTTTACATGAAGAACAATGTAACAAATATTACTAGCATTTAAATTATTACTCCTGGGCAAGCAAATTAGCACCTTGCTGAGGCAACTGGGATAATGCACATACCATTTAGAGCTATGCTTCCACCTCTCTAGAGAATTGTTTATTTGTTACATATAGTTCCAATTTTGAAAGTTTTCTTCACAATTAGAACAGCCACAGATTTAACCCGCTTTCGTTTTTCTAGATGACAGGTGAAATTCCAGAGAATGGGTAGGTAGCCCACAGAGAGATTTTGCTGGAGTACATGAATACACAGTGTCTGTTTCCAAGCCCTAGACTATATTAATCACATTCTTTCTGCATTAATGTTGGACTGTCTGTAAATTTACGAAGGCCATGGATACTGTGTTTTCATGTTATAATGTCTTTATTGAATGTATTCTAGCTGAATCCTTTAAGGAAAGGCAGGTAATGTGACATAACCATCCCCAAGCAAAACTTCTTGTCTCATAATTCACCTAGTTCTCCAGTACAGCTAACGTGTAAGCATTTCTCAAAGAGCTGTGAGAGAAGGAAAATGGTGCTAAACTCCTTTTAAAATTATCCAGTCTAAACTAGTGCTGCATGCAATAAATCACATTGCTCTGAAAATCCTAAATGGGGGAATGGGCCATGGCCTCACACCTATCAGCATTATGACGAAGAATGCAGCTGTTAACACTAGGAATAACTTACTTCTGGCATATTTCTGCTTCCTTCCAAACTTGCTTCTGCACATTGAATTCCAAGTCTAGTACAGATGTCTAGCACATATGTCATTTTATCATCTCTCTCCTACTATGATGAGTACCATTTCCATTTCTCCCAGTCCCCTTCACATTTCTTACCAACTTGTAATTTCTGTAAATCCCACCATCTTCTTCCTTCCCACAGCAGCTGCCCCATAACCTTTCCCCAGATTTTTATACATCTAAAGAAATCAATATTTTACATTAGCCTCCTCAGCTTACATATATATCTTACTGTCTCCATCTAGTGCAGGTCCCCTTCTTCATTTGCCTGTTGTCTTCAGAGCTCTTTTTGAACACTCACCTCCTAGCTGTCCAGCTTTCATCACTTTCTTACTCCTTACTTTCATCACTTTGTTATTCCTTACTTCACACAGACCAACTTCAAATGGGTTTCTCTCTCATGTATCCTTCCACATATGCTGAGTTTCTACATTGTTCAAAGGACCTTAAGGAAACGGAGTAGTAGAAATGAGAGGCTGGCTGTGAAAAAACGCAGAAGGACTTGATGAGACTGAGCGCTAAAATGGCAGATGACATCCAAGGCTAATAAATGTAAAGCATTACAAATAAGAAAATTTAACTTATGAAATTATGATCTCAGAGCTGACCATTGCCATCCAGCAACCATATTTTGTGTATGTAATAAATATATACTGGATACTATGTGAGGATCTGGTCCCTTGCCTCAAATGTGACAAAGCAGAACTGGAAAGGGTTCAGAGAAGAACAGTCAGAATAATCGGAGACATGGAGCAGCCCCCAAATAATGAATAAGTAATTTGGGCTGAGAAACTGAGAGCTAAGGATGGGACATAACAATAGAAGGGGGTGAAATCTAGTGGGGCACGTACATACTACCTAGAGATTATCTCTAGGAGGCTAGTGGGCAGTGGGTTCAGAACAGACAAAAACGAGATGACACAGCATTCAGTAAGTTGTGGGACTTCTTGCCACAAGAGATCACCAAGGCTAGCAGGTACAAGGCTATAATGGCTATAACTCAAAAATTACTAGGCACCTCCACAGAAGGAAAATCTATCAAGGGCTATTAAATAAAGAAATATCACATCTGGCTCAGGAAGTCCTTGAGTTGCAAATTATTAGAAACTGGAAGATCATGCTGGGGTAATATCACTTTATATTCTTCCTTAGGTTTTTACCGTTGTTCTCTGTCAGAGACAGGATATTGAGCCAGATGGACCTTTGGTCTGACCCCACACAGCCTTTCTGATGTTCCTGTGTTCATATTCTTAACTGACCGTATGGATGCTCCTTGCACTTTCACCTTCTGCTATACAATGCCAACAAAAACCCTCCTGCTTATAGGAGCAAACTGAGGCTGAGCAAAAATAAAGGTCCCAGCGCATTTTTGCTGAAAAATCCTTTGTAAATACTTACCTACTCTTTTAATCTAGTGTAAGACCAGCATCATTGCTGAAAAAACATTCACTCTGCAGCTCTGGTCACCTGAAACAATCTGTGCAGACCTCTCCCCTTTCACCGATTCCCTACCTCCTTCTAAATTCTCATCTTAAAACCTGAATTTGTAGCCTGCCTTCAGCCTCTCAATTTCTGTCTCTCCTGGTTATTGGTCTTATGACTGAATGCTTTAATATTTTCACCATGCAAGGTCTTTATGTCACTGTTTCATGTAATCTATACCTGTGAGTTACCCATCTCGCTTTCAAGCACAGGCCATACAACAGACTGCATGGAGTCCAAAATGATCCCCATCCCCTTACTGCTTTGGGGTTTGGCTTTATTAACAAAGATATAAGCAATAAGAAAATAAAGTTCAGCTATTTCTAAGGCTTCTGCCTCATGACTGCTCAGCCAGCATCTTAGATGGACTCTCCCCAGCAAACAATTTTTATCTCCCTTTTACACAAGTGAACTAATAAGCCACCTACCTCAGTGAGTCAGCAGAACCCACGTAACCCTTTCCCAGAAGGATCAAAACTTGCTATTAGGATGGTTTGGCTCAGGCTCGTTACAGAACCATATTCTGCCCCTTGGTCTTGAATAATTTATTTGTGCAACAGACCTAGATCACTGTTTAAATCAAAATGCTACCTAAACTGTAGGCTGTGCTGTACAGTGCAAAATTAAACCAATTACTGTATCATATAATGCTCATCTTTTACAGTGTAAGATGCCCCCTACAGTACTGCAGAAAACAGCAGCCAGGCATAGTAGGAAGCCGGAGATTTTTCCAAGGGAACCAGCCTTTGGTAAAAAGTAAACTCAGTGTCAGAAGGTATTGCACACTTCCACTTTGATCCATTGAAACTTAAAACCTTGAAGTGAATTAGAAGCCTTATAGAATCTCTGAATGCCTGAAACACAAACAAGACCATGTTTCTTTATGTCTTCAAAAGTGTAATCTGAGTTTACTAAAAAAAACACAAAAAAAAACAACCCCTCAGCAAAAAAAGAACCCTCACAAGTAAAATACGTTCTTTCTCTTATTTTCCTACCCCTGTTATTGTTCAATCACCTGATTTTGAGACTCCATTCACCTGACAATAAGTAGCTATCATTTACCCTCATCCTGGCTGTCAGAAAGAGTCATCTTTGTCTTCAGAGAAGCAGGGATAACGTCTAATCAGTGAGTTATAGTTGAGAGTTTTAGGAAAAATGGCACTTGAATTTTGTTATCAGTAACCATTATTTAGATAGCATTGCTGATGTGCAATGTGGTGTCATACAGACAAGGACAAAGACCAGGCCCTCACCCTATGGAGCTTACTGTCTATATTACACAATTAAAACAGAGAATGGTACTAGCATAATAGTAATAGTGAGCTCTAAGCATCACAGTGGGAGGGAGAAGAGATGCAAGAAAGGCAAAATTTCCTGTGAGAGAGCAATACCACATCATCCCTCCATTGTTGTTTTATACTCAGCTCTGCCAGAGGGTTTTGTTGTTTCAAAATACAGCCTGTACAGAGGAGGGAACAGATAATTCCAGAGTAGAAATCAGGAGAAACTGGCCAAGGTGTTTATGAGAGAGGTGAAGGACGTGGACTGGTGACAGAGTTGGGTGCTTTGGTGTATCAAAGATGCAGTGTCACACAAGCCATGGAAGTGATGTTGTGGCAGGCCTGGCAGGTTGTGTGTCACATAAACTCACAAGGTTCTGCAGGGCATGGGAAGACCTGAGGCTCTTAACTTGGTGTACTCAATTAACATGGAAACTGTGCTCCTTCTATCCACTCTGTAAAGTGGGCTCTGTAACTCATGATACAAGCAACATGTTAATGTAACAAGCCAGCTAAACCTACCATCTCGTAAAAATGAGCTTCCAAGTACCACATTTGACGAATGCAACAATTTGTCCTTAGGTGTATGGTGCATTCTGCCAGTGCTTTAGTTATATGTCATTTTATTTTGGGGTCAGTTTGTGTATCATTCTTTTAAGGAAATCATGTTGAAAATTAATACAGGACAATCTGACTATAGACATAAAACCCTAGACTTAGCTGAGCTGCATACATAAATCAAACTGAAGTCAGTACTTCAGAAAACCAGGCTAACCTAACACTAATTTTAGCCCTAACTCCATCTCTTTAACTACATCAGAACATAATTTTTAAACTGCATTTATATTACTACATTTTTTTTTGTTGACCCAAAAATAGCAGGAACCAGCCATACTGGAGCAGAGAAGAGTCCATCTAATGAAAACAATGGTACCACAGGAATACATTCATTACTGCAGTGAACTTCTGAAAAAAAAAAGCGGCATCTTTTTTTTCCTAATATTCAGCTTTGCCTCTCCTACTTAGTGAAGCAAAACAGTACACGTATTTCCCTGAACTGTCTTATTTCTGTAGACATCCATGAGATTGGTGCAGAAAATGGAGCCTACCTGGCAGTATCTTCTCAGTGGCATAAAGTAAAACTGATTAAGAGAGAAACATTCTTCAAGTTCCTCGAAAAGGCCGTTGGCTTCTTCCATTTATGATCAAAAAGATCCTAGAAAAAATATGTCCACTCTTTAACGAGACTAGGAAATTGAAATAACCAAAATGGGATGTGATTGGTCTTTTTACTTGAGGTGCTTTTGCTACTGAAACATCGTCTGTCTCCTAACAGCTTCTAACATTGTGCTCCTACCTACATGGATCATTTAACACTAGCATCTTCTTTCTGACAAACCACAAATACTTCCAAAACTTGACCTCTTCCCTTTATCGCTTTTGATTAAGAATAGAACTATCTGCAAGAAATGCCCTACAAACCACAAAGGATTATCAGAAATATAATGATGAGTGATTCAGAGACTCTGTGGCTCTGCTTGTGTTTCTGTAATCTCATCTTGGTCACTCTTCCCTTCGCTGCTGAAGCTTTGCTGTAGTTTCTTCTAGTCGGTTTCTCCAAGCAGCAATAATGGCATCATCATCCATCTCTTCTTCCTCTTCTTCACGCATGGTTCGCCTGTACTGTGAGAACTGTCTAGATGCAAATCTTTCTTCACTTTGTTCCACTTTTGCCTCCTTTCCATCCTCTTCAGACTTTGAAAAGCTCTGCCTGAACTTTCTCTTAGCTCCAAATTCTGACATGTCTGACGTGGCTTCCTCTTCACATGCCTCCACATGATATCTAACTCTACTCTGTGTAGGTGGTTCAGGGAATTCAGAGTCAAAGGATGGTTCAAGTGTTTGTCTGAAAACACGGAGCTCTGGGCAATTTTCTCTGGAACTTGTCTCACTGATCCTTGACCTTGAGAACTTATACATATTCTTGTCCTCTTTTGCAGAAGCAGAGGAAAATCTTGACATGGTTCTCAGTGAATCTCCTTTTGACTCGTAGGAAGAAGAGCTGTCCAGCTCTTCTCTTTGGGATCTGGAGATTCTGTAACTGGATGTTTCAGAATCCATCTCTCTAACTGTGGATGATCTGCTGTATTTCTCTCTAGCCTTCTTGCTTTGACCATAAAATGATGATGGCTCTCTTTCTGCTTTCAGGCTGCTGAGCCACTTGGTAATATCAGTCTCTGTCTCTGACTTCGGTACACCTGTGTTTGCAGGTTGACTGAATAGATCAAAGATTCTGTCAGTTGCTTCAACATGTGCTTGCAAGGGGTGCCTGTGGCTGTTTGTTGTACTCTCTCTGTCATCTTCTATTTCCTTGCCCTCTCCTTTGGTTGTCTTTTTTTTAAATGAAGTGCTCCGTTTATTGTCTCTGATCACCTTTTCAGTTTGGTAATCTGTCATTTTCTCTCTCATTTCCATTTGCATCTCCTTCTCCTTCCTCCTGATTTTCTTTAAATCAACCTCATCAGCAAAGAGGCTGTACAGTGGCTTGCTTGTCTGTGTTGTCTTCATGTTTGAACCAGTCCTTTCTGTCCTTGCATTTGCTGAGGTATTGCAAGACAGGACAGGCTGAGACTCAGTCTTGTGCATGTCCTGCTGGCGAAGCTGAGAGGTAGCAAGAGATGAGTTACTTCGAGCACAAAGAGGATAAACTTTATCATCATCTACACCCCTGCCAAGGTCTCCTGACATTATGGAGGCCATTGCAGATGATGGACGGGACAGCATCATGATCTCATTTTGCTTCTGAGCAATGGTTTCACTGACCACGTTAGCGATCCAGTTCTGAATGCTTGCCATGGATATTGTATCACCTGGGCCGACTGGGAGGTTGGGAAGGGTTATACTTGGCATCTGAGGCTGCATTGCCCCTGTATTGCTCCTGGTCTGTGATAAAGATGAATGATTTGTCTGCATGCTCAGTGCAGAAGCTGCATCCTCGGCACCGCCTGCAGAAGGTTCTGAGGCCCAGAAAGCTGACAGTGGGATACTCCCACTCATCGTACTGTCTGTCTCCCAGCTACACATGGACTGGCTTTCTGCTAAGATCTTCTTTGTACGTTCAAGGAGCTCTACACGCCTCTGCTTCTTTTTAGCTGATGCAGAATCCTCGCTTTTGGCGAATTCCACAAATTCCTCCTTGCTTTCACTGCCCACCTTCTTCTGGCGCTTCATTTTCCAAGCTTGGTAGGCAGTCAGGTTAATATCTGACAAACTCTTTCCTTCTGTCCCCTCTATACCTGCATGGCTGCCATCTTCTGCTGGAGATGGTGCACCAGATGATGATGGTTCTAAATCCTTCTTGTGAAAGCCAAACTGAATCCTCTTGATCTTCCACCTTTCCAGAGGAGTCAATTTGTCTTTCTTCTTTTGGCAGAAATTGTAAAAGGAGCTACTGTCTGAAAGCACACTCTCCTCATCCACATCCCTGTCCTCTCCTGTTTCTGGGGGTTGTCTCTTCCCACAGTTTTTATTCTTAGAATGATACCTTCGAGCAGCTTCCTTCTCAATCTCCAGAAGCCTCTGGTTCCACATGTCCCAGGTGCTCTCTGAAGACATAGAGCCTGTGCGGCTCCTCCTCATCCTGCTTAAGCTACTGGCTTCCAGCTGTTGTCTTAGGGTTCGGATCTCAAAACTGCTCACACTCTCAACATCATGAAATTCACCTGGTGGGTAAGGTTTTCCTCCCATGCTGGCATCTCTGTACTCCTCTCTAGGTGGACTCTCAATTTGATATTTCTCATTTCTGCACTGCCAGTCATGGATCCTCTGTTCCACATCCTCCTCAGATTGTTCCCCTTCCTGATCCAGAAACTTTGGTGATGTTCTTCTACCATGGTTAACTCCGGGTTCCTTTGTAGGCAGGCCTTGTTTCTTCCTCCATTCCTCATACAAGTGTTCCTCTTCCTCCTCACTGATGAGGGTGGAGTGTTTGGAAACCCAGCTAGTTTTTTCCACTGATGAAGAGCTCATTAAACTACCCAGCAGGCTGGTGGTGTCCTCTTCTTCTACTGTGATGGAGTGGGCTTTGGCTCCCATGACACTTTCTGAGTCCCCAGCTCCAGATGGCTGGGAAGAAGTCCCTGCACTGACAACAGGACTTTGACTAGGAGTGATTTCTTCACTTCCAGTATGCTCCAGCTCTCGCTCTTCCAACAATTGCTCATTGAGATCCCTTAGCTGTTTCAGAAAGCCATCATTGGGGTAAATGGCACGCTTCTTTCTCAGAGTCATCAGAGCCTCCAAAACAGTCATGTGGTGGTAGATCATCAGGTAAGCAGCCACCAGCACAGCTGAGCGACTGATCCCCATTTCACTGTTGACAAGGATTTTGCCTACAGATATTGAATAGAGAAGCAATTAGCTATTTCCAATAACATAGAGAAGTTGCCCTGATATATATCACAAAAGGATTCTCTGAATAGTGTTAAAAATTATATGCTATATGTTTCGGTAACTGAAAGCAGTACTAAATATTTGTTAGCTTTATCTTAACAAAATCTAGATATGTATGAATAAAAAGCACATTAGTTTTAAAAGTCATGGGCAGGCACATTTTAAAACAAATAATATTTGTATTTTCACCTACACACTTCACTTCCCCAAATAATCAGAAAGCTGTTAATACATATTAGAAAGACAAGTGACACACTATTCTTGACTTGCTGGCTGACATGGGGTAAGATGTTTAAGCCTTCCATGCTTCAGTTTCCCCATATGTAAAAAGGGAGATACCAGCATTAGCCTCCAGGAAGGTACTAGGAGGATACTCAAATAACTTTTTTTTTTTTTTTTTTTTTTTTTTTTTTTTTTTTTTTTTTTTTTTTTTTTACAGCACATTATAGGACTGAAATACAATTTAATATTATTTTTATTATTTTTTTCCAGAATCCACATCTGCTTTTTTGCAAGGTACATTCAAAGATTTGCATATAGACTAGCTAGAGGCCAGAGTCATAGTGTATCTCAGCACGAGAGAACCAAGCAACTAGCAGAAGAGAGCAGACCTTGACTCTGACAAATTGGTTGATACAGCTGCTTCAAACTGCTGGTAACCACTGTTCTGCAAACAGTGACTGCAAGGGATAGAGCCAAAGCTGAGGATATGCTTTATTTCACAGCATTTACACAAGAACCACCTCTTTCAGAAAACTAAGCTTTGGCACAGAATTATTTTTAAAGTTACTTTTATAGCAAATTACAGCTAAAGGAAAGCTTGTAAATATGAAGAGAGGGTAAATGAGGATTTGCTAGCTTGCAAATAACTGAAATTACTGTTTCTACATGTATGATAAAATCCAGTTTAATTAAACTGTTTGCACTGAAACTTAATGAAGCCAGTTTAAACACCACTCTTCTGCCTGCTGATATGTTACTGCAAATATTTACCTAATGAACCTATTTGTACAATCCCAAAATGTCTTTTACACTTAGTATCAAGAGCCTCAGTTGCCTTCCAAGTGTTTTGAACAGCCAGTGAAGTCTATCTAAAAGCTCACCAAAAGGGGGAGACCTCATTCCTCTGCTTTCTTTCAAAGCTTCTCTGTCTCCTTTCCTGTGTCAGCTCAGGTACTCACTGGACCCTTAAATGAGGTAGTTCAGCAGACTAACCCAAGTGAAACCCATCTCTTCCCTGCTTGACTGTAATTTTTGCTAGTTTAGTGAGCTGAAGGGTCAATGAATGCCATCAGCAGTAAGCACCTGTACTATGCCAAGTGTAGCAATGGGAGTTATGAGGAACATCAATGCTCTTCCATATGCCTCCTCATGGTGCTTGGTAAGCTATTAAAATTGGCTCAACTTTTCTTATGTAGTAACAAAACTTCTCACTTTTCTTCCTGTCACTTCTACTAGGGGGTAATCTGTTGTGTCTTTACAAAAATTACATGCATTGAATATATATATGAAGAGTATCAGTGATATCACTGATTATGGTGTTCATTTTCATATTGAATTCCATAAATATATTTCTAGCTCTCCACTGAAACTGCAAAAAAATTGATCAGCACGTACTGGAGGTCCACAGAATAACAATTGCCATGAAAGAGGAGCCCAGCAAATTATACAGTAGCTTGGGTGTACACCCAGGTGTTCAACCCAGCTGTTTGGATTGTTCTAGTAAATCAGCCTGTTCTTTTGCATCTTGGCAAAAGTGAAACTTGCAGTGTACAATATATATCAATATATAGTATTACATAATATTAATATCTTAAAAATATTTATTGTAGCAGGGCTTTACCTCTTTGCAATAGGTACTTTTATAGCAGCTGAGGGAGGTGCCTTACAGCCAGGTTGAGTCTGAAGACAGGGCTTGCAGCAAGAACAGTCAGGCTGCCTACTCTCACTAGTTTACCCCCTCCTGTTTTGATTGGGGCATGGCAAAAAGAGGCAAGAAATGTTCCCTGTAAATGGATAAAAAGAACGAAGTATCTGCCTTCTACCCAGCTACAAATGTGGCATCAGCTGTTCATCATAGTAACGCTTCCACCCATTAATTCCCAAGCACTATGGAACCACGGCAATCTCCTCTTACCCCTGTAAGTCAGCAGTGCTTCATCAAGGAACTCTGCAGCTGGGCGAAAGTGTTTGGAGATATCCATGTCTGGAAAATCATCCACTTCGATGCCCAGGTACTGGATATTCAGACCGTTGTAGAAAGCTGGGCCTGTGTATACACCTGTACCATGAGCTGCATTCAAGACATGTGTGATCCCCAATCTTTTCAAACGGCTTTTGTTCACTGCAACACTTCTTCAGAAAGGAAAAAAAGGTTAGGTATCAGTGCTCCCAGTAGGAGAGAAAGTGTCTGTTACAGGTCTACAGAGCTCCCAGTCTTTATATACACTGTATCTAACATGTGGCTCCCCTCAGACCTTAATGTCTTTTGAGAGTTCTACAGGTATTGTAGAACTGGGAAAAGAAAATGAGAAACCTGCACTCACCCCTAGAGCTGCATGTGCTGTTTCCAGTCCAGCTTGATTTTAAACTCATCCTGCCATCCTAAGTTCAGGCTGATTACTTATTTCTCAATTTTTATCACACCATAATTGTTGCTTTACCCTCTATCCACTAATTCTGTCTGGTCACTTGCACAGGTGTCTCAGCTGAGCCACAGTACAGAAGACCTAACCATTTCCACTCAGTATTTGATATGTTTCTTTTTTAACTCTCTTTTACATAATAAAGACTTTACTTCCAATTTCAAGGCCAGTTCCAATCAGAACAGTGTAATTTGTGCTCATTTGCCTTTTCCTCTCCCAAATTGTTGAAGCATCAAAAGAGCACAGGGAAGTTGCTGATTCTAATCCAGAAGTATTTTTCAGTGCAGAGGTCTTTGTGAGTATATTCTGAAAACCACTTTGGAGCTCTCTGGGGATGAAAGGTATTAGATACATATAACACATGTTATGCCTTCAATGGTTCCATCTGACCCTTCACTGGAATCTCACGCAACTTGATGACAAAAGCTGACACTCACTTTTCTGCTATGAAGACATTAGGCCAGACTTCATCCACAGCATCCCTGGGGGTCTCTAGCCTGTCCTTGACAAGTGCCCTCTGCAAATCCATCACACATGGTGTGTTAAACAAGCTGGTGTCATCAATCTTTTGCTTAACTCGGTTGTACAGATCTTCCACCATCAGCTGCCGTGCAGACTCTAACATCCTGGGACATGCTGAGTCTACATTGGCATCCTTTGTCTTCAGTTCTGGAATAAACTGACATTGTAACTAAAAGTATGTAAAACCCATGCAAACATATGACCTGTCATTCTTTGTTCTTTCTTTGTCAATTCTTTGTGGATTGCTTTTTTTCCCAGTAACATCACACCATCCTGTCTGCCATGTCTGCATTATGTGCTCATCTAGAAGCCTTAAGGTAGTAATGGGAAGAGCATATTGCACTGTCTTCTCAGTACACAGACCCACATTGGCCAAAGGCCTGGGATTTGAGGGCTCACTCATTCTAGCTCCAGAAGAAAGCAGTCTACAGCTTCCTGAGGAGGAGAAGTGGAGAAGGAGGTGCTGAGCTCTTCTCCCTGCTATCCAGTGATAAGACACGTAGGAATAGTTCAAAGATGTGCCGGGGAGGTTCAGACTGGACATTAGGAAGCTTTTCTTTACAGTGGTCAAATACTGGAACAGGCTTCCTAAACAGGTGATCAATGGCCCATCCCTGTCAGTGTTTAACAGGCCTTTGGACAATGCCCTTAGTAACATGCTTGAGCTTTTGGTCACCCTAAAGTGGTCAGGCACTTGGACTAGATGATCACTGTAGGTCGCTTCCAGCTGAAATATTCTATTCTGTTCTATTCTATTCCGTTTGTTACAGGGCAACCATCAAACTGTATTCATCACTGTGGAAGATGATTCTGCCACAGATTCAGTTCACAACTTCAAAGGAAGTCACCAAAGCTTTCTGTAAATTGTCATTTCTTTGTGGTTTCCATCTCTGTCTCAGGTGGGGCTTTTTTATCATTTAGGACCTCTGTATGAGAAAGGCAAACCAAGTGCAACTCAAGTTTCTACTACTTACATATTTATTTTACTCTATATCTCCTCTTACCTTCATTGATTATCTGCTTGGCAGCCACAGCAGATGACAGATGGATTGGCTCCATGAAGATGCTCTCTGTATCAGCATCCGACATCACTGAATACCTGCCAGCCAACCACACTGCCTATTAGGCAAATGCCCTCCACTGGGATCCCATCTCCAGACTTCAGCCCTTTTCAACCATTCCAGAAGAGAGCAGAAGTAACTGGTAGAAGGAAGCCTCAGCTTTTCTACCAGCCCTCAACCCCTGCTCTCCAGTGTGGCACTACAGGCTTCAAATATGCTGTGGTATCCGGTGTTTGCAGGATGCAGACAGGTACCACGCAGAAAAGCTGCAGTGGGCTGGGAGTGCAAGAGAATAGACTGGTGGAGGAGTTTTTGGGTAGAGAAGATCAGTGTCTGCTTTGGGAGTGGGACAGGGAAGGATCACAAGGAATAGCCTCATGAGTAGCTCTCAATTAAGATAGACATAAACATTGTCCTAACTAGAATTTATTGAACAATTCAAAACAGATTATGCTAGAAAACTGTTTTTTTCCTATCAGCTAATTACCAAGAGGCATCCTTTTGAGTTATTGCAAGCTGCAATACAAGCATTAAGATTGAAGCCTATGAATCTCTCTCTGAGTACTCATTGAACACTTTGTAGCATGAATCTATGGACAGTCTTTCCACTTACACAGCATTGTCTATCTGCAGGTTAGTAAATAAATATGAAACCCACAAACACCTTTGACAGCAGTTCTCTGACACAGCGTGATTTACATACGTTTTTGTTAAGCTAAAAAGGGCTACAAAACCAAAGGTATTTCCAACTAGGTCGACCTGTACAGTCCAAGCAAATCTTTCCTTATTTAGACTATCTTAACAAAATGTTTTACAGAGCTTTTTCCCTGATGCACATCCTCTAGATTTCCTTCCAAATAGATGGCACAGATCATCAGGACAAGTTTGTAGCCACTACAGCTGGCAATGAAGGCTTGCAGTACTTGCAACACACTGTGTGGTTTTGTTTAATTAAAGCAGGAGAGGGAGGATGATTAACGTGCGGTCAGGGTGCAGCAAGTGTCTGGAGAGCTCAACTGCCTTCATTCTCCAGAATCAAAATGGAGGGCACAGCCATAGAAAACGACTTAATGGGCTCATCTAGGTCATTTGGTTGGGTTCCAACACTTGTCAACTGTGACTGAAAGTAATCCTTTTCCAGCCCTTCAAAGGAGTTTATGAGATGAGCAAAAGGAGTCTCAGTCTCATTTACAGGAGCTGGCACAAATTTGCAGCTATTCCCTGCTTTCAATTCCTTTTGCTGGAAAGGTTGCCTCCAATCTTAATAAAAAGATAACAGTTGGTAATAATCTGCCACTACAGCCTCAAGAGATTTTAGCTGTAGCTTCCTCAAGCATCCATGAAACACATAGGTACAGAACTGCTCAAGCCTGGATGCTTCAAGTGCCTCATTCTGGTTGGGAAGGACCTTACCATTTTCATCATTGCTCTTGACATTGACAGCAAGACAAAAAGGAGGAAAAAGAAAAAAAAAGAAGAGAAGGAAAAGGAAGGGAAGGCAAGAGAAGGCAAAGGGATACACAGGAGAGGTGTTTCTGTTCACTTTGAGTGACTGATGAGCAGTAGGAGAGTGACTTACCAAGTTCAATACATGATTTTACTGTGAGTTCAGTGAACAATTTTAAACCACATTTAGTTAAATTAAATAAGCACTCTCTCTTCATTTTTCTGCAGTGACCCACAGGTAATGGGAAATATTTCATAACCTCCCACTTGTTGAGGGCCACTGGGATGCGGTCTTCTCAATCCCCACTCACTGCCTTCAGCTTAAATCATCTCAAAGTGTACAGAAAGCCCTGCAGAGCATTTTGCTTTAGGAAAAAGAGTACAAATTGATGTTTTTTTTTCCTTATTTTAAGAGAAAACACACGTAATCATGCTTGTTTTGCTTGAGGTAACTCAATTTCTGCTTGCGCTGTGACAGCCTCCTGTTTAGTCCCTGAAGCCTGTAGCTAAGGATGATTCTGAAGCATCCCAAATCCAAAGACCCTCAGTCTTTTAGGGGCTGGGAAAGGCTAATATCAACATAAAAAAATCCACAGGTCCTTAAAATAGAAAGACAGGGCTGAATTTGGGAAGAGAAATTCCAGCATGGGCGTGGATGTAAGAGGTTGAGACAGGGAAGAACAACAATACCACCCTGTAGTAATGCTTTCTGCAACTTAACCCCCCTGTGTGTGCATACACTTTTAGCAGCATGGATTAAGTAGTGCAGGAGTCCTGTCTCTGAATTCTCTCTCCTTGCTGGCACGCTAACCCCCACCACAGAAAAGGGAAGCTCTGGGATCCATGCTTGATCAGAGTGTGGGTGTGGAGAAGAGGTGTTAGAAGAGGCAGGAAGGCAAGCTGATCTATTACTGTGCTACCAGGAGGCCGTGGCAGCGCCTGCGGCAAAGCATACTCACCGGCTGGGTGAGGGGCTGCGGAGGTAGTGGGCCTGCACGGCTTTCACGTCTGGTCCCTCATCCTCCTCACTGGGCACCACTTGCTCGCTGTCCAAATCTCTGCTGCTGGCCATGGCAGCTGTGAGAGGATCTGCTGCAAGGGGAGCATGGCAGGAGGGAGGGTGTTATAGAGGAGGCCAATCTGGGTGGCGGTGGTGGTGGGGGGTATGGCAGAAGGGGCTCCCACATCTTACTTCTACAACCCTGTGAGGGGCCCTTGCCACAAGACAGCCACACTGGCCCCTCTGCCAGGGTGCCTGCCATTCCTGAAGCCTTGTGCAGCTCCCTGGCTGCTGCCCAGCAAGCACCCATATCCTTCTTGCCTGTGAGGAAGGCCAGGAAGGAAGGGAAGAAACTCTATCCCCTCCCTGGCTGGCTCAGCCATGCATGGTGGCTGGAAGGAGCTGTACATAGCCAGAGCTGGACTGGAAGGAACATGAGGGGCAAGAAACATGAGACCTCACCTCCCCAAAATGAAACACTCCTGAAAACTCAAGGCCAAATGTACTTCAAGCCTTGGGCCTTTGTCCTTGTAATCCTTTGTGTGCAATCTGCTGTGCCTGCCCTGGGCATGGGAGACCAAGGGGGCCACAGCTTGGTTAGGAGCATGAAAACACAGCAGCCGATGTTCCCTGGGTCCAAGCAGGGTGACTCCTGTCCCGCTGCGCCATGACTGCTGCTGGCGGCTCCAAAGGGCCAAGCAGCCAGACTCAGGAGGGAGAACCGCAACCATGTGCCACTAGTGGGTGAGGAGCAGCTGCTGCTCATGGGGCAGTGTGAGAAGGGGGAGCAAAGAAAGGGCACTTACCCCTGTGCTACTAGTGGGTGAGGAGCAGCTGCTGCTCACTGGGGCAGTGTGAGAAGGGGGAGCAAAGAAAGGGCACTTACCCCTGTGCTGGGGGTCCCTGCTGGAGGTACGGAGATGAAGTCCAGTGAAGAGGGCAGGAAACCTGGCAGGGGACAGTACTGGGGGGAGAGAAATCAGCCCTCCACTCTCACTCTTTCTGTGGCTTCTTCATCAAGGGGCAGGACAAGTGTCAGCACCAAACCTCTATCAGCTTTCTAAATATAGTGCTATCCTAACACTGGCTGCTGGATTGCACAGGGAAAGAATTCAGTGCCTCATAGATGGCAGCTGGTCAAGCACTTAACTCCTTCCCTGCTGTGAGCTGGATCCTCTGATTTTTCCCAGTTGCAGGAGGAGCCCAGAGAAGAGCCCAGAGCCAGTGGGGCTGAACCTCTGCCTGCAGGGAGCATCCAGGCAAGCAGGATCCCACAAGCACAAAGTGAAATGCTGGTATGACTTCTGATGTCCTTGGGAAACACAGTGAAGCAGACTACCTGGTCTTCTGCAAGGGTTTTGATATTGTTCCCCACAACATTCTTGCCTCTAATTTGGAGACAGTTGGATTTGATGGATGGACTATTCAATGGCTAATGAATTGGCTGGATGGCTGCATCCAGTTACAGTCAGTATCCAAGTATCCAATACTGATCTCCAAGTACTAATCAGTACTTGGAGATCAGTAACAAGTGGTGTCCCTCAAGCTTCTGTACTGGGGCCAGTACTGTTCAATATATTTATTAATGACATAGACAGTGGGACTGTGTGCACCCTTGGAAATTTTGTGGATGACACCAAGCTCAGTGATGCAGTTGATTTGGTAGAGGGAAGGGATGCCATCCAGCATAACATGAACAGGCTTGAGGAATGGACCCATGTGAGCCTCATGAGGTTCAACAAGGCCAAGTGCAAGGTCCTGCACCTGTGTCAGGGTAATCCCCAATAGCAGTGCAGTCTGGGGGATGAAGGGATTGAGAGCAGCCCTGCAGAGGACTGAGGATAATGGTGGATGAAAAACTGGATGAGAACCAGCAACATGCTTCGCAGCCCAGAAAGCCTGGGTAGCATCAGAAGGAGTGTGACCAGTAGGTTGAGTGAGGTAATTCTCCTGCTCTACTCTGCTCCTGTGAGATCTCACCTGCAGCACTGCATCCAGCTCTGGAGCCCCCAGTACAAGACATTGACCTGTCAGAGAAGGCCCCAGGGAGGGACACGAAAATTGTGAGAGGGCTGGAGCACCTCTCCTATAGAGAAAGGCTGAGAGAGTTGGGGTTCCTCAGCCTGGAGAAGAGAAGGCTCTGGGGAGACCTTATTGCAGCCCTTCAGTACTTAAATACTATAAAAAAGATGGAAAAACACTTTTTACCAGGGTCTGCAGTGACAGAGTAGATTTAGATTAGATATAAAGAAGAAATCCTTTACTATGAGGATGGTGAGACACTCAACAGGTTGCCCACGGAAGGCTGGGGGTGCCCCATCACTGAGGTGTTCCAGGTCAGGTTGGAAGAGGTTTTGAGCAACCTGATCTAGTGAAAAATGTCCATGCTTGTGGCAGGGGGGTTAGACCAGATGATCTTGAAAGGTCCCTTCTGACCCAAACCATTCTGTGATTTTATGATTGTACGGTCATCTGAATTTTGTTCTTGCAAGAGCTAGGACTGAGGTACACTGTGTCTTCTTTGATTTTCAAAGTTCCCATCTCTTGACTTTCCAGCAAAGCTTGTGAGTCAGGCTGGTCTGAGGCAGACCAGATGAAAACCCAACTGCTATTTACCTGTACTGAGGGCTCCAGTTCTGAGTCATGCAATGACATCCCACTGTTGATTCCTTTTGCAAACAAACAAGCAAACAAGAAAGGAAGTGGAAAAGAAAACTGACCTATCTCATACTACAGATACCTTTGATGCCGCATCATGCTGCATAAGCCTGCATACCTCCCTTCCTTCAGACATGAGCGCTGCATCCCCACATGGGGATGGGGCTACAACTGTAGGGATGCCACATCATGGCAGGGAAGAGCTGTGAAACAGGCACTCAAGTCTTTGTGTTCTCCTATCCTAGACTGGTGTTAATACAGTTACTGGGGTGAGCAAGCAGGAACAAGAGAAAGTGGTATATTGAATCTCACGTGTCATGTAAAGGGAAGAAATGGATTACTGATTACAGGTTTGAAGACATCCTAATAATTTCTTGCACCAAGAGAGCTGTGTCCTCTGGGCAATGCAATTTTTATCTGCTTCTGCAATGCAGTGCCACGTATGTTCTTATCAATTACTGCTAATTGAGGCAGAAAGTGATCTAAAGATACTTGCGAATGGACTCTCTTATTATCAGAGACCAGAATTTTCAAAGAACCTAACTGTTGTGGGAGCATGTATTCCATTGATATACAATAAAAACTTTTAAGTCACTGAGCTGCTTCTGAAAATCCTGTTTGTGAATCTTTAGGATACAGCTGCAGCAGGGTATGATGGCTAAACCTGAAAGCCCTGCCATGCCCACCACAACTATCCACATGCAGAGATGCAGAAAGGACTGTGTACGTTGCAGACTTGTGGAGAACACGCAGACTGCAGGCAGCCTGGCAGCTCTTCCTCCCTGCTTGTTACAAGCTGTTCCTTTTTGGGCTCAAGATGACCATCCAGAACAGAAGCAAGGATGATGGAAATCTTTGCTAATGAACATTTGCACATACAAACATAGCCAAAAGTAACAACCTGTAAGTGGCTGGGCATCTGTCAGTGATGATTAATATATCCATTCACAGATAAACCCAAACTGAATGTGGCCAGGTGCTGTCCTCTTAGGCGGGAATGATGAGACCTTGATCGAAGGTTCCTCTTTCTCAGTCTTAACAAGAGTTACTATCATTTAGTGTTAGCACTATGCTACCTACACATTAAACTTCATAGGCAAGCCTTATCATAGTATGTATTTTTGGCAAGACAATGAAGCCCCCCTAATTTCATATTAAAGCTTTTAATGTCAATGACAGTTTCATCTAAATATGCTAATAGTATCCCCTAAAAATCCTATATAGAGCAAAAGGATTTCCCAGATCTGCTGCCATCAGCAAAAATGTAAGGAGTTTAAGGGCTTGCATTGCCCATGGGTGAGTGTTGAAGAAGTCGATGTGTGTCAGCCTATGCTAAGACACAGACTTGTGTTAGCGTAAGTGGGGCCATGGCAAAGCTAACAGAACTAACAAAATAAATAAAGTGCATCTAAACAAGTGTCTTAATATCAGATTTATGTAAGTAACAGTTATTGAGACATATGCTGTCTATGACACCTAGGAAACCAGTCTTATTTAGCTGAGTCTCCAAACAAACAGAACATTATCTTAGCACCAACTTATTTGTAATGCAATTATGTGGCTGATAGAGGCAGGGTAAAATTGTTCCCACAGTGAATCATTTCCACACCAGCATTTCTACACAGACACCAGGTAAGGCAGCCTGTCCAAGGTAAGGACTGTGAGATGAAATACAGTGCCTGTCCCTCCCAACTAGCACAGTGGAACTAGATGCATGCCAATATGCTTGGAGAGGATGCACCTTGTTACTTTTACAGTTAAATGACAAATTTATATTAAAACAGTTCATTTGTTTCAGTGTTAATGTGCAGTGCTTAATCTGCATTGCTGGTATTTAGACAGATTGCTAAACTCAGACCTGCTTTAGGTATTTGAAGAACACTATGTGCACTGTTTTCAGCTTAACTTTGCACATTCTCTCTATTGTGGGTTTTTACTGGCAAGTTAAGAAAACACACTAAACACCATGTATTTCCACAAGCAGTGGGATTAAAAAGCCTGGTTTCCAATGGACATGTGTTCCGCAGTCCAGATGCCCCAGTGTGATAAACACCCCTCATGGAGCCACAGCTCTGGCTCCTGTGCTTGCTCACTATACCACATTTCCCTACCTGCCTGGCTCTGCAAAAGATGAGACAGACCATGGTCAGGTGCACTGGCTGCACAACCACGGATTCTTGGAATGGAAAAACAATAACCAATGCCTAAGAGGTACCATTAATTTAGATTTCTCTTTTATCCCAGCTGATTGGGATTGCTGATTTTTATGAGACTGAAAGGAACTTCCCATCTTTAAGATTACGATCTGTCTGTCAAATTTAACTGAAATTGGTCAAATGGGTTTTGAAATTATTGTGGAGAAGAGAGCGAAGAGTTGTTGTATAAATGACAATGAAAGTCTTATTTCTGTGAAAAGGATAAAAGCAAGCTTACCAAGTTGGTACAGAATGTATCAGAGACTGTAAACCAAGCTCTTCTGGTGAACATTCAAAACTGTTATGTAGAGAACTAACAGAGGGAAGCATGGGCAGATGGTGTACAGTGATGGCAATTCTGTCACTATCTCTGTTCATCAGATTCAGTTAAAATATTAAACAGAAGCAAAATTGAAAGAGTGAAAACTAATGATCCCACAGCCTCTCCAGGGAGAGGAGGTATCTAGTCCAACCCTCAGCTAAGGCAGGGCCACGTAGAGCAGGTTTCACAGGAAAGCATCCAAGCAAGCTTTGAATGTCTCCGGAGAGGGAGACTCCACAACCCCCTTGGCAGCCTGTTCCAGTTCTCTGCCACCCTCAAAGTGAAGATGCTGAGATGAAACTTCTTGTGCCTTAGTTTATGGCCATTGCTCCTCATCCTGTCACTGGGCACCACTGAAAAGAGTCTGGCACGGTCCTCCTGGCACCTGCCTTTGAGATACTGATCTGTATTGATGAGATCCCCTCTCAGTCTCCTCTTCTCCAGACTAACCAGGCCCAGCTCCTGCAATCTCTCCTCATAAGGGAGATGCTCCAGACCCATGATCATCCTTGTGGCCCTCCGCTGGACCCTCTCCAGTATTTCCTTGTCTTTCTGTGCTGAGGAGCCCAGAACTGCACACAGTACTCCAGATGGTGTCTCACAGGTGTTGAGTAGATGGGGAGAATCACCTCCCTCGACCTGTTGGACACACTCCTCCCAGTGCACCCCAGGATACTATTTGCCCTCTTGGCCACAAGGGCATACTGCTGGCTCATCAGTATGAGCCAACTGATCATCCAGCAATACTCCCAGGTCCCTCTCAGCTGAACTGCTCTCTAGGAGGTCAGCCCCCACCCTGTACTGGTAATTGGGGTTCTTCCTTCCCAAATGGAGGACCCTACACTTGC